GCATACATTTTCCTGCTTGGATGAACCTGGATAAATCAAGCTTCCTAAAGTAGCCCTGAGCCAACCTGAAGTCTAAGGGCTGAGAAATGAGCACAGATGGGTGTTGCTGACCTGAACACTTGCAGATCCTGTGATAGAACCCAGAACTGCCCTCACCTTCCTGGGAGAAGTCTTGGAATTGCTGTGGGCGTATAGTAGGGCTGGTGACATGGATCTGCCCCATCCTTCCATAGAGATTCTAGGTCCTCTGAGCAACCCCTGACTGTTCTGTCTCTGGAGTGACCCTGGAAGGACTGGGATGGGATGGGCAGACAGGAAAGAGAGAGGGCCTACGTGGGCAGCGTAGAGAGCAGGAATCGCAATGTCGCAACAGCCCTGCCTGAGTGAGCTTCCCGGCCCTGTGCTGCACTGGCCAACCCGTCTGTGGACAGAAATGCTGCCTTGGGACTCCCGTTCCCAGCACCAGGATGTGCCTAAAGATAGCTGAAGCTCAGTTTCCTCTGTGTCCTCTGCCCTTTGGCTTCTGCCTGCCACTTCTGAGCTCAAGGCTCATAGCATCTGTCCCAGGGGCACTCCCCTTGGTTGCTCAGAGATTCTATTCCTGCCTCCTTTTCAGTTCTGCTGATGACCTTGGGCTACTCTATTCTTTGGCCCCAGTGTGGAGCTGAAGCCGCCTCTATTCAGGTCTCTAGGAGGCAGCCTCTGAGGTGCACTGGGCAGCCTCTGCCAAGCCCTGTGGGCAGCTAAGTAGGCACTGTAAGGGAAAGTGGCTGGGGAAGCTCCTTTCAGACTGTCTCCTTTTCTGGATGCTATGCGAGGTCAGAAGAGAGGATGTTGAGGGTCATATCTATAAGCCTAGTGGCACTTGGACCTCCCCTGCTCTCTGGGTCTCAATTGCTCTATTTGTGTCCAGTGTGTGGGGAGGAGGCAGCTGGTCCATAACCATGGAGTCCTTACTTTCATCCCTTTGCCCCAGGTTTAGGGGTGAGAACATGAACCATTCAGGTGTCCTCAGTATTGACAGATACCCTGTGTCATCTTTGGACCTTCTGCTGGGCTCTGGAGCAGGTGCCCCATGGAGGAGTAAGCCACTTCCCAGCACGTGCCCAGGCCCACATGCTGGCTGCACGTGCTCCCTCCCCCCACTCCCAGCCCAGATGGTCTCTGCCAGGCCAGCTCAACTGCCTGCTCACGCCTCAGCAGCTCCTAGGACATGGCCATGCGAGAACCCAGCTGGCCAGGGTGCCTCTGAGCTTATAGGAGCAGCTGGGATGCTTGGGGGCATCAGGGGTGGGGTGGAGTGGTTCTTCCTTGGAGACCTAGTGCTTCTGTACACGTGTGGGGTGGGGCTGCCTGGGTCTCAGAGGACAAGGGAGCTGGAGGAGAGGAGTCCAAGACAAGAGGCATGAGAGCCCCCACTGGCTGTACTTTAACCCCATGGTCTTACCACAAAGTTCAAATTCATAGGCTGGCCAACTCAGTCCTCTCCTCTATGCCCAGATCAAGTCTTGGCCAGTCAAGGTGAGTCTCTTTGACCTCTTCCCATGTCTCTCAGCAAACTTGTTTCTTCTGCCACTGGTGAATGCTTCTGCCTTGTGATGAATAATAGCAGAGTCACCTGGGCTAGGGTTCTGAGCGCCAGAGCATCTGAATCCACCATAGGCTGCCTCAGGCTGCCCCACCCTCACCCGTTCTATTGTACTCTGATATGAAAGCTTGGACTCCTCCTGTTTGCAGCATCCATCAAAGGGCCTGGTGCACAGTGGGTACTCACCCAGCCCAAGTCTTGGCATGTGACAAGTATATAGGCTTAGCACATATTGGGAGCTCACCAAGCACAGGGCTTAGCACACACAGGGCAGTCCCTTGGCACAAGTCTTGGCACGAGGCAAGTGCTCAACTAGTACAGACTCATCACACACTGGGCACTCCCTTAGTACAGAGCTTGTCACACAGTGGACACTCCGCTCCACAGTGCCAGGCACACAATGGGTGCTTACCTGACTTGTGGCTTGCCATACATTGGGTCCTCATCTAGCACAGAATTTGGCACACATGGAACATTCATCTAGTGCAGGACCTAGAATACCACAGGGGCTCAGTTGGCATGGCGCTGACACACAGTGGGTGTTCTCTTATCCTGGCACACAGTGGGCACTCTCTCAACCCAGGCCCTGGCCCACAGCAGGTACGCTCCTGACACAGATCCTGGCCCACAGTGGGCACTCTCTTGACATAGGTCCTGGTACAGAGTGGGTGCTCTTCTAATATAGTGCTTAGCAAAGAGGAGGTGCTTGCCTAGCCAGGACAGCCTGAGCAATTAGCTTCCACTGATCCTGGATGTATGATTATTTCCTCCCCCATAAAATGGGCAATATCCTGATCCAAAGGAAAGGCCCACCCTTCCTCAGACTTCCTCTCTGGCCCCAGGACCCTGCCCTCCCCTCACTCTTCTTCCCTGTGTAGCCTTCCCACCCTCACTGAGCCCACCTACTCAGTCCTGTGCCCTCGCCATCCCCCACCCCAAGCATTTTGCAGTCCTAGCTCAGCGGGACCTTCCTTCCAGAATCACAGGGGACAACAAAGCCCCTAGACTCCTTGCCCCTCTGGAAGCATGCCCACTCTTATTGAGGAAAGTCAGAGGCAAGGGCTGGGGAATCGGCCTCCCTAAGTGGGGCTGGAGCAGCTGGATCCCACTAATGAGGCCTCATTACGGCCAAGGCCCAGCTGGGCTGCTGCCGCCTCCTGTCCCCATGGCCAGAGCCAGGGAAAGCCATCCAGCCAGGGCTGCCTGTTCTGGGCATCAAGCCCAGGCCAGGGCAGCCAGAGCCCAGAGCCCACCCTGGGTGGAAGTGAGCATTTGGGCATCATGGGTGACTGGGTCTTCCTAGAGCCAGTGGCCTAGCCAGGGCCTTGGCCCTCAGTTTGTGCCCGCAGGAAGTCAGGGGAGCATGTCTGGGGAACAGGCTGCTTGAGGCTGGCCCAGTGAGCGCTGAGTCAGTGGGGTCTGGGGCCATCCTTAGGAGACTTGCCTGAGTCAAGGCCAATCCCCATCTTCCCCTCAAAAATGGGGATAATATTGTATCTACCTCATGGGGCTATTGAAGGGACTAAATAAGTTAATACATGTAAAGCCTTTAGGACAGCACTCAAGTGCTTATAATAAGTGCTACCATGTGTTATCTAAGGAACTCTAGTGGTGCGGTGCCTAAGGCATTTGACTGTTAACCAGATGGACAGGTTGGCAGTTCAAACCCAACAGCTGCTCTGTGGAAGAAAGATGGGACAATCTACTTCCATAAAGATTTACCACCTTGGAAATCCAGTGGGGGTCACTTTGAGTCAGAATCAACTCGATGGCAGTGGGTATGTGTTATTACTATTATGACTGATGCTCACGGGAGTCAATGCTGGATGAATGTAAGCCCCATTCTGTTGTTGTTGTTGTTATGTGCCGTCGAGTCAGCCCTGACTCATAGCGACCCTTCCTTGGGTTTCCGAAGCAGTATCACTACGGAAGTAGGATTGCCCAACTTTCCTTCCGAGGAGTGGCTGGTGGGTTTGAACCGCCAGCCTTCTGGTGAGCAGGCAAGTGTCTTAGCTACTATGCTACCAGAGCTCCCAAGCCCCATTCTAGACATGAAGAATCTGAGACCAGAGAGGTTAAGTGACTTATTTAAGGTCGTATATAGGGAGAAACTGGCAGGCTTCTCTGACTCCAGAGCCTGTGTCCCCCCCTTTTATTTTTTTATTATGGTTAAAAATATACATAACAAAATATTAACTAATTCAACAATTTTTCAGTTACATTCTTTATGTTCTGCAACCAATATCACTATCCTTTTCCAAATTATTCTACCATTAATATAAATTCACTGGATTTTTTTTTCCCTTGTTGTTATTTAGTTATTCTGCTCTGTTTTGTATGGGGTAACTACATTACGGAATTCACAGAAAAGTGGTCCCGATCTTCACACAAAAATTCACACATGCCTCCTACTGTGTACAAGGCCCTCAACCGACTTAGCAATTTACAAATGGAGTTGTACCTTCCAGTACCAGTCCACTCACACCCACCTTCCTGTCCATGTGGTGTCTAGGCATCTCCTGGGGACGGACTAGTGAGTGTGGCCTCAGAGAAGAAGGATGTAGATGGGTCTGAGTGACAGCTCACTCCAGTCGTAGGGACATCTGCTAGACTGTACCTGGTTCAGGCAGCACACACTCCCAGACCAGTTGCTATTGACTTGATTGTAACTCATGGCAACCCCATGTGTTTCAGAGTAGAACTGTGCTCCATAAGGTTTTATTGGCTGATTTTTCTAAATAGATCTCCAGGCCTTTCTTTCAAGGCACCTCTGGGGTAGGCTTGGACTGCCAAACTTTAGGCTAGCAACTGAGCACATTAATCATTTGTACTACTCAGGGACTCCCTAGCACTTCAGATTCGGGGCAGTGCTGTACAAATCTCCATGGGTTCTTATTCTACGTAGCCCCCCCCACCTTTGTCTGCACTCTGTGTTTACCATCTCTTGACTAATACCATCTTTCTTCAGACAGGTGACAGTGCAGCCCACTTGCATGGTCAGTCATGTCCTCCTGTGAGGACTCCTTTCTATCTGGTTGGTTGAGGGCCCTCAACTGAGGGGAGAGAAGGACAGCCCAACCTCCCCCAGTCCACACCACCCTAAGAGGTGCTGAGATGCTTTGGAGTGACTTGTGGAATCTGCTCTCCGTCTTTCTACCCTCATTACCATCTCTTGTGCCCATCACTCTTTGAGTATTCCATCACTGTACCAAGAGCCTATTAAGTGCCAGGCCTGTAGGCTTAGACAGCAGCCAGGCTCTGGGGGCCCGCTCTGGGAGGGGCATCTACCCGCCCTTCTCACTCTCCCGCTCTCGCCCTGCCTTGCTCTGTGGTTGTGAGTGTGTATGTGTGTGTTTTTTGTTCCAGTAACTTGCTGGGAACAAAACACAACAAACCCCACGCTTCACTCACTAGCTCCAGTGCACCAGCGCTGGGCTGCATGGGGACTAGCCTGAGGGGGAGGGCCAGGGGAGGGGGGAGGCAGAGCTCGGGAGGAGATGAGGTGAAAGTAATTGACGATGCCCAGTCCGGCAGTGGGAGAGGCATGGGATGCGTCAGTGTCGCGCTGGAGCTGGCAGAGGTGTGAATGAGCGGCGGAGACACACGAGCTCCTAGTGCTCACCCCGGGATGGCTGCGGCCCGTGGACCCATGGCCCCTTCCTCCCCAGAGCAGGTCAGTCACCTTCCAGAAGGTCGCAGGCCCCTCTCTGGTGCCAGGCAGGCATGGAGTCTAGGACTGGAGGTGGGAGAGGGGCCGAGTGGTCTGTGCCAGGGAGGGGCAGGCACAGCCAGAGAGTGAGACAGACACCAGCAAAAGTGACCCAGAAAGTTGCAACTGTGCAAACGAGTGCAGGAAGAGTTAGCTGTGTGCCGGGGGGCAAGGGGGAGGAGAGTGGGGGTGTGAGGGCTCCCCCAGCCCAAGGACCTGCTGAGAATCTGCTCTGTGTATCAAAGCTGCATTGTCCTAGCTCCCGGGGAGACGGGCCGGAGGTGCCCAGGAATTGTACTAATCAATACAGCCTCATTGTCTGTGCCACGGCAGTTACTCCTATGGGGAGAGTGGGTGAGGGAGCAGGAGAACGTGTACATGGACTCAGGGGTGAGGCGTGGGGGAAGGGGATAGGGCAAAAGTCTGAGTGGGGAGGAGAGAGACCCCACTGGATGTTCACCAGCCTCCAGGGCAAGTGCCTGATGGGGTGTGAACTAGGGTGCCCTCATCCCTGGAAGTTGGAGATGGGCGGGGATATCAGGCACAAGGGCACAATGCAGCTGACCACAGTGAGAGTGAGGGGACCAGAAAAGCCACCCCCTTCCCAGTAGGGCATCCTGACTTGACCTTCAGAGGGCAAGAGAAGGAATGTACTTTGAAGAGATGTGGGTTGGGTTTGGGAGAAGCATTACGTGGGACAGCCTTCAAACCTCAGGACTACTAAGGTCAGAAACCAAAGCCACTTCCTAAAGTGGCAGCCCACTGCTAACCGATTCTTGTCTCCCAGGCTGCTCAGCAACTCCAGGGGCTGAAGGTGAGGGAATGGGCAGGTCCACCCCATCTCTCCGTCACTTTCCGCAGGGGCCTGGCCTGGTATCCCCAGGGAATATCAGTCTTCTGTCTGCCATGCAGAGTATTGGAAAGTCACTGTCTGCCAATCAGGGCTCCATGATGAAATAACAAGGGCAAATTCTTGCTCTTTGCCTGCTGTATGAAGGCCTGGGCTCCTGTGGGCACCTGGAGTCCTGAGAGGTGCCCAGAGGTTGCTCTGAGGTTCTTCTTGAGATTTAAATAAAAAAAACATTGTCTTAGAGTCAATGCTCATTCATGATGACACACGTGTAACAGATAACAACTGCTCCATAGGGTTTTCTTGACTGTAATCTTTACAGAAGCTGATTGCTAGGCCTGCCTTCAGAGTGTCGGTAGGTGGGTTTGGACCACCGAACTTTAGGTCAGCAGTCAAGAGCAAAGTGTTTGCACAGGAGGTGCTAATTCCCTCTGTATGTTGCTTGGACCTAGGATATATTTTCCCATGCCTTAATCTCTAGCCCCTAACTCTGCCTCATGTCTGGATAATTGAGGCCAGAGATCAGAGCTTTGGCTGGGTTTTTCTGGCCCCACTCAGTGTCATGAAGGTGAAGGGTTGCAGCTTCTATCTTTGCAGGACAGGTGCTGCCTAAGGGCCAGCCTGGTCCCTGGACTGATAGGAGAGAACTTGGGGCAACAAGAACCAAGGAGTGGGAAGTGGGAGGTGGTGGGGTCTTCTGAGGCAGCAACAATTTACTGTAATGGCTGTTCTGGCTGAATTCCCCACTGGGGCTCAGAGAAAGCTGCCAGAGATCTGGATTTGGCTTACAGGCAGTCTGGGATGTGGGGTCTTGCCCGCTCTCCTCTGTAGAAGTTTGTCTTGGATGAGACTTCATCCCATGAGCAAACCCTGGGGCTGGAGAGTCCTAAACAAGAGTCTGCTAGATCCCAGTGGGGCTAGCCCAGCCAGGGCAGCTCCAGGAATCCTCAGTGTCCACCACGAGCAGGAGGAGGGAGCTTACAATTCACAAAAATATCCCGTGGGCGCTGATCTAGGAGGGGCGGGAGCCACTGGCCAGAGTAGAACTCTGGGCTCTCTCTATGAAACTTTGAAAGAAAGAGAGCGTACACCATCATGTTACTGGTGGGTACCTCTGGGAATGGGCTTTGCAGCTTTGTTCTTCTTTATACTTTTCTGTATTGTCCAAAAAAAATTTTGCAATAAGCTTATAATACTTTTATAATAAAAAAAAAAAAAAAACCTGTTTTTGAAAAGTAATCTAGAAAGCTAATGGAAACTAATGGAAAATACTGGGGAGAGTGAAAACTAGCAAAAGTCTAGGGGAGGCAGAACTACAGACTATCAGCAGATCTACTGAGGTTATCTAGGCTGTCACCTGATTTTCTAGATAAGGATGCTTATCTACAGGGTCACTGGAGGAGTGGGCTGTAGGACACCAGGGTTTAATCCCCAGCGCAGGGTCCTGGTTCTGCCAGTGAGGGATAGTGGGAGATCTACTCTCAGAGCTGAAGAACTTTCATTTCAGGATCTCGGCATCTAACAACAACAACAACAAATCCAGAGCAGTAAATAGGCCACAGCAGAGGGCTATGTAAAGCCTTTACATAAAGTGACTGCTCAGTGCTGCTCACCCAGTGAGGAAGGAGTGAGGGGCAGGGGTATGGTTAACCCAAGAAAGACCACAGTCCGTGTTCAAGGATGGAGACTGCTGCCTCACCATCCATCTCTTTAATCAATGATGGGTTTAAGGGGGCATCTGAGAGTCTTATTATGTGTGTGTGTCTGGGGCAGGGGAAGTCATGGAAGATGATCAGCCAACTCACCTACCCCATCACAGAAGGGAGGCTTCAGTGCTTCCATTCTGTGAAGACTGGGAGAGCTTGGGTGCAGGGCTGGGCAGTCCCAGTCCTGGAGACCACCCACTGGGTCCTTGGCAGTGGTGGGTAGAGGTGGCTTTGTCCTGGAAGTGGCCACTCAACTTCTGGGAGGGGTGGCAGGGTATAGACAGGCCAACTCAGAGAGGAAACATGCTACTAGGGTTTAATTCGGGAGCTCTGGTAGCATAGTGGCTAAGACACTTGCCTGCTAACCAGATGGCTGGCGGTTCAAACCCACCAGCCACTCCTCGGAAGGAAGGTTGGGCAATCCTACTTCCGTAGTGATACTGCCTCGGAAACCCAAGGAGGGGTCGCTATGAGTCAGGGCTGACTTGACGGCACATAACAACAACAACAACAGGGTTTAATTCACCACTGAGGTGTGAGCAAGGGAGGGAGGGAGAGCTGCAAGGGGCAGACAGTGAACGTGGGGTGATGGGCAGGAGAAGCCTGGAGCATGGCCAGTCCTCAGGGCTGAGCCGAGTTAGGCAGACGGGCCGCCAGTCTGGGTCAAATTGTGAGCACAAAGGGGGTTTTTTCATGGCTACCTCAGAGCCAGTGACCACTGCAGGGACAGTTAATATCAGTGACACAGCCTCCCACCCACAGGAAAACAAGAGGCTTGGAATAGGAATGATTATGAGAGGAGAAGAAAAAGCTATGCAGCGTTGAAAAAGGCTTGCCAGCGGTGGACTGAGTTGCCCCAGAGGAAGTGGAGGGGGGTGCTCCGAGGAGAGCTGGACAAAGAAGGGAAATAGAAGACTTCTCAGAAAACCCCTGCAAAAGGGGAGAATTTCCGATTCTTCCCTCCAGTTTATCTCTGGAGAAAGGTAGGCTTGCTCTGCTCTCCCCTGAGAGCTCAGCCCAGCTGACTGAATCTAGATCACCCAGGAGTTGAAGTCAGAGGCGTAGGGCAGGCATGGCTTCCACAGCAGCATCTGACCCACAGCTCCCACAGTCAAGGTACCATGGAATTGAGGTTCATGGCCGGAAGGAGATGAGCACTGCTTCTGCCGGCAACATCTTGCCCCACTTGTAGGGTGGCATTTCCCTGACCTCTAGCTCCTATGCACAGCAGACCCCCAGTGCTGTCAGTAACTTCCTGCCAGAGCCCAGTCCTCAGCCCCTGGTTCCAGACCCCTGCCCTAGGGGCTTTTGTGTCCCGTGTTCCAGCCCACATGGCTGATTGGTTAGCTTGTGGTTCAGCGGTGTGCTGCTCATGAAAGGGGCAGTGGGCTTGTTCTTGAGGGCTGTCAGGTAGCAGTCTATGGCACATGGTTGGGGGCACCTCTACTCTCCCTGTCCCCCTCCATGCCAGGGAAGGAACAGGACTTGGAGAGTCTGGTCCTGCTGCCCTCAGTCATGAAGGAGGGCTCTGTCTTTCCTTTTGCTGGGGCTATGAGAGAGACCTCAAGGCTTAAGCCCTGGGGAACTCATGCTCTGCAAGGGGTCGTGCCTTATCCTGAAGATTGGGCCATCCTGGACGGCCAGTTGTCTCTTTTACAGCTGTAACCAGTGCTCTATGACCCCACCCACGTCCGCTGTGGCTGCCACAATCCCCCATTGTAGCCCTAAGTAAACAAGCCCTGGGCAGAATAAAACTATTATTGTAGAGTCAACATATAAACCAAAAACCAAACCCGTTCCTGTCAAATCCATTTCAACTCATAGCAACCCTTTAGGACAGAGTAAAACTGCCCTATAAAGTTCCCTAGACTAATCTTTATGCAAGAAGACTGCCACATCTTTCTTCTGTGGAGCAGCTGGTGGGTTCAAACTGCCAACCTTCTGATTCGTGGCTGAGCGCTTTAACCACTGTGCTATCATGGCTCCTTGGTCAACCCGTAGGAGCTCTGTTAGGCTGGGATTTGTTTGGGATCAGATAAACAACCCCAAGCAGGCCATGCCACTCTGAAAACATGGCCCCGACCCTGCAGTATCGCTGTACCTGTCCCAAAGGAGGTCCTAGGAGTCAGGGAGATGCCAGGCAGAGAGCTGTAGGAGCACATCACAGAGGCACCTCGGCTGAGAGCCCTTCTCCCGGAGCCAAGTCTGCTCATGCCTTTAAGGCCCTTCACCTTTCCTTGACCTCACTCTGCCCACACCCACTCCCCTTGTCCTCCCTCTATACTCCTGTGACTTTGAGCAGTCCCGTGTGATCACACTGAAGTTGCCTATAAAAATGATGTGTTTTTGTGTTTCACCAATGGTTGCTCTCCCACTTGACTTTGAGCTCAGAGTGGGTCAAGACTATCTCTTTTGTTCATTCATTGCTGCATACTCAGTGTCTGGTGCAGAGCTGGGCACATAGTAGGTGTCAATGAATCTCTGCTGTCACAGGGTGCTTCAGCTTGCCATTCTGCTCTGGGTACTCCTTGCAGGAAACCCCAGCATTCCTGGAGCTGTACTCCCAAACCTCCCGGAAGGGTGTGAGTCTGCATTTGCTCAGGGGCAGTGCTGAATTGGGTGTACAGGAAGTTTGCCCCATAAGGGTGTCTGCACTGTTATGCCCAGCCTGTGCAAACCCATAGGGGCCAAAATGTGCCACTGTGGGGGACAGGGCTGGGGCCTCCACCAGGCTGAGACTCTTGTGTCTGCTTCCCAAATGAACCTTTCTAGAAGGTACTGGGGCCCTCTGTGTTTGTCAGTGTCAAGGTCTAAAGCATTTCAAAGCACTAGGCTGCCTTGCTTATCGGCTGGTGGCTTGTTGTCCTTGAATATGTCTCTTTCAAACTGAGGGTCTATGTCATTTCATCGTTGTCGCTCAGAGACCATCAGGCCCCATGTGCAGCTCGGTATCCTTCAGAGACTACATTCTGTTTTTCTCAGGGGAGTAGTCCCTCTCTGAGAAGCTGTCTCTGTGATTCAAGGACTATCTGTGTTTCTCTGTTGGTGACTCTCAGGGTCCCTGTGTCTCCTTAGTCAGGCCCCCTTGACCCCTCAGGCTCTGGCTCAGGGTACTTGATTTCCATGGGAAGGAGGAGGGGTATGTCAAGGGGAAGAGGCACATTCATACCTTCCGAGGGACTTGCAGAGTCCATTCCAGTTGTGGGGTGGAGGTCCACAAGCCACTCCCCTACCAGCAGGCTCAGCATCCTTCCATTGGAGTAAATCTCCTCACCAGCACCCCCCAACCATGGAGCTCAGAGGGACCTTTCTCCCTGCCACCCTTTTCCAAGGTGTTTCCCTTAGTGGTGAGTCCTCAAGGTCTGACATGGTATCTCCAGCTCTGGTCTCTTCCCCAGGTCATGGCCTAGCACACTTAGTCAAGGCCCAGGTCAACCAACCCCAGGCCCCCTGTCAGCCCAGAGTGCCCTCCCCAGGTGTGGCCCAGCTCAGTGGCTCTCCTTCCTTCCTTCTACAGCCCAACCAACCCTGTGCCCCCAGACCTCCAGGAAGGAGCCTTAGGCTGGGGGAGGGGCCTAGCATCCCACCCCCACATCCGCCTGCCCACGGGCAGCGTGCTCAGCCTGGTGATGTGGTAGGCGACAGTGGGGGGGCTGTCTGGACACAGGCCCCTTTGTGCCCAGCCTGACTTGGCTGCTTGGTATGAGGCTCAGCTGCTCCCAGATCCTTACCGAGAGGGCAAAGGAGAAGCTCAGAGGGGCTGGAGCTGGGGCACTCTGGGCTCTAGCTCCCTCCTCAGTGTCCCCCCCTCTCAGAGGTTGGCAGCAGCTCCTCAGGTGGGGCTGGTGCACCTGGCACAGTGGGCTAGGGGGCTGGTGAGGGAGGCCCCACTTGGCACCCTCTGGCAGCCTCTCTTCCCACTGCCCTCCTCTGCCAGGGCTGGCTGCAACTCCTGCCAGCAGAAGGGAAGCCCAGAGATGGGGTGGAGGCTCTGAGGGTCCACAGTGCCCCCATTGGGGGTGGCCCAGATGGTCAGGCATAGGAGCATTAATGCCATCCTGATGGTAGCTTTTCTCCTGTCCCCACAGAATGGTGCTGTGCCCGGCGAGGCCACCAAGAGGGACCAGAACCTGAAACGGGGCAACTGGGGCAACCAGATCGAGTTTGTACTGACGAGCGTGGGCTATGCCGTGGGCCTGGGCAATGTCTGGCGCTTCCCATACCTCTGCTACCGCAACGGGGGAGGTACCCAATGGGCACAGGGCAAGGACCACCCACTTGGGTAGAGCCCACCCACCAAGACCTGGAGTGCCCTCTCCCTAGCACAGACTCCACTGCAGACAGAACCTGACCTCTGGCCCTGATTTCCTTTGCCCTCATCCTTGGCTTAGGCACCCTTTGTTTTAGGTACCTAAAACACAAACTGCCCCAGCCTCTGGCAGTCTACTGTTTGGGCCTGGCTCTGCCAGCCTGCTCCCTTGAGAAGAGAAAAAGTGGAGAAAAGCACTCCCTTCTGGGGTTCCCTTTTATATCTCCCCATGTTTCAACAATTCTATAAATTATTCTGGACTATTTGAGGACCCCAGCAACTTGTGCTTGTGAATTTGCTTGGTTAAACCATCAAGTCTCACTCAAACAGGGTAACTCCTTTCTAAAAGTTGAGAGAGAGTGAGTCTGGGTTCTGCTCAGAGCAGACTTCCTGGGAGCCTCTCTCAAGTCAAGTTCAAAGACCGGCCAGGGGTAGTGTGCCTGGGACCCGGGCTCCTGCTCAATGCCTTGCACATACTCCCTTGGGGCCTACCCAGTAGTGGAGGTTTTGTTGTTAGGTTCTGAGCAGGAAGCCCAGGGTAGGAATTCCCAAACCCACCCTGAACCAGACCTCTCCCTGCCTCCCAGGTGCCTTCATGTTCCCCTACTTCATCATGCTGATATTCTGCGGGATCCCTCTCTTCTTCATGGAGCTCTCCTTCGGCCAGTTTGCAAGCCAGGGCTGCCTTGGGGTCTGGAGGATCAGCCCTATGTTCAAAGGTGAGGCCTAGGCAGAGCACTCGCTCACACACACGTACACACACGCGCACACACATGCCTCTAAGGGCCTTGCTGACCCACCCATCTGAACAAACACTACCAACCCCTGTGGAGCCCTGGTGCTGACCCCAAGCCCTACATCAATGGCCAAGGCCATGGATACATGCTGAGATCTGTGTTTACTTGGCCTCCACCCTCTCCTCCCACCACATGTACACACAAAACCCCTTGGTCCCTCAGCTTGTCCCTGCCAAGGCCGTGACCTATCCCTTCCATGGTCCTTCATCAAAGCCTGCTTCTTGGGTCCTTAGAAATTGTTAACCTCACCTCCTTCCAGCCAGATGTGTGAAGCTGCCCCGTCTTGTGCCCATCCTCCACAGTGCCCTGACAGGTACTCCTCCTCTCCCCTAGGTGTGGGCTACGGCATGATGGTGGTGTCCACGTACATCGGCATCTACTACAACGTGGTCATCTGCATCGCCTTCTACTACTTCTTCTCATCCATGATGCATGTGCTGCCCTGGGCCTACTGCAATAACCCCTGGAACACACCTGACTGTGCTGGTGTGCTAGATGCCACCAACCTCACCAATGGCTCCTGGCCTGCTACCCAGACCAGCAACCTCTCCCACCTGCTCAACCACACCTTCCAGAGGACCAGCCCAAGTGAGGAGTACTGGAGGTGAGGCACTCATGGGATAGAGGGAGAGGACTCAGCCCTATGTCTCCACATCAGGCAGCCATCAGCAGACTGCCCTCCACTGGGCATGGAGGGGGTAGAGGTGGGTGCAGAAGTATGAGGAGTTTACAGCCTGGTTTAGAAGAGACTAACATACTGAAGAGCAATGGAAGACAGTGTTGAATTGGTGAGTGCTTACAAAGCAACGGCGAGGGAGGGCTCCAGAAATCAGACAAGTCTGCAAAGAGACTCAGGCAGAGAGAGATGTGGCATCCTGGGGAGGAGGAGACACTTGCCTACTTAGAGAACTTACAGGAATTAAACTTAGATTTAATGCTTCAGGGCAGAAGGGCCCAGGGGTGTTGGGATCATGCTGTGCTTAGGACAGATAGCCTGGCCCTCCTGTGCTCAGTGGTGCTAAAGAGACCAGAGTCCTGGGCAGCTGAAGGGAAGTGTTGCTAGAGGTGCTTTAGAACACCTTGTCCCAACTGAGTGGGTGTGAGGGGACAGCAGGACATCCTAGAGGAAATTCCTCATGTCCTGTTGGGGAACCAGACAGCAGCTTGTGTGTAGGGCCCAGACATGGACACAGGGCTTTGGGGCCAGGGGATAGGCCTTGTTCATTCATTCCAAAAACATGCAGACATTGCCCTGCTCAAGCCCTGTGTGTTCATGTGGTTGGGGGGTGGGTATGAATGACCTAGATCACCTACCCTGAGGAACTCCCAGTCTAGTGGGAAGATAGGCCCCAGTTTAGGGGACAGGTGTTTCAGTGTAGGTATATGCAGGAGTAGGTGGGAGCACAAAGGGGGTAGTGGTCAGTTGTAAGGGGATGAGGGTAAGAGGAGGTGGCCAAGAGGAGGAAAGCTTCCTAAAGGAAAGAGGGAGGTTGTCGAGGGGTTTGGAAGCAATATGAACAGGTGAGCAGATGCCAGAAGGTAGCAAACTAGAAGGTAGAAAACTCAGTAGGAACTGAGGTTGGGAATAGGTGGGACACTGAAAAATAAGGCAGAAGAAGCCAGCAAGAACCACATGATGCAGGGCTTCCAAAGCCAGGCTAAGACTACAGGCTTAGACTCCACTATGTGATGGAGACCCATTGGTGAGATATACAAGTTCCACAAGTCATGTTGTTATTAGATGCTATTGAGTTGATTTCAACTCAGTGACACCATGTGACAGTAGAATCGCCCCATAGGGGCCCTGATGGCACAGTGGTTAAAGTGCTTGGCTGCAGAAAATTTGGTGATTTGAACCCACCAGCCACTCGACAGGAGAAAGATGTGGCAGTCTGCTTCCATAAATATTACAGCCTTGGAAATCCTATGGGGCAGTTCTCTGTCCTATAAGGTCACTGTGAGTTGGAATCAGTTTGCTGACAATGGGTTTAGTTGGTTTGTTTTGTTTATCCTATGGAGCTACTGGGTAGGTTTGAACCACCAACCTTTTGGTTAGAAGCTGAACTCTTAACCATTGTGCCACCAGGGTTCTTTGCCACAAGTCATAGCAAGTTGATATCCTCCAGGCTCAGCTCTGAGAGCCTAAACCCCAAAGGGCCCAACCTCCCTGTACCAACTTCTGTATTGAGCTACAGACATTCAAAGATAGGTAAGACATGGTCACTAGTCTTGGGGCTCACCATGTAGATAAAACAGCTGGTGTCTCACAGGGAAAAGACAGGCATAATTAGTCAGCTCTAAGCAGGCCCAGTCACTCAGTCACTGGACGGATCCTTTCTAGGTACCAGACATTGTACTCAGAGCAGAGACAGCAGGGAGTAAGACACACACAGACACTGCCTTCATGAAGCTTACATCAAATGGGAGAACTAAGCAAATAATGGCCCTGTTAGGTATGTTACTACATCTGAGGCATGATGTGGAATGGGCAACTTGACCTAGACCTGGATGAACCTTCCCAGAAGCTCCCAGAGCAAGCGCCCTGCCCACAACCCCAAGATATTCTAGCAGCCTTTGTGCCAGGGGCTGTCTGCCATAGGATTCCCAGCCCTATGGGCAAAGATCTCAAATGATTTTATCCAGTGAAACCAGGGCACCATAAAGTCAACCCAGAACAACCAAGTCCCATGTGCAGCCAGAGGGGCAGGCCCCGGTGACTTCTGGAGGTGGGGTGGCCAGGAAAGGACTCAGGGTCAGAGCTTGGACACCTGCCAATTGAAATGGAGCAGTCTGCCACGTAGGGCCCATTCAGTTTTTCTATGTGGAGAGGTTGGACTAGTTCTTGTTACTTGTGGGTAGAGACTACACAGCCTGTTGGGAACCAACTTGCTCACCTAAGTTGGGTTTTGGAGGGGAAAAGGCCTTAAAAGGTGTGGCCAGTTAAACTCTACACAGCGGTAGCTGGAACCAGGCCTGCCCAACTGGCTGTTGCCTGGTTTCCCAGGCAGAATGGCTCCCTGCTGCCCCCTCCTGGAAAGCCTGGGAAAATGACCCTTAAGACCACAGCCTAAACTGGCTTTAGCACGGAAGGGAAGGGAGAGAGTACTCCCATTTCGTGGGCACCTACTGTGCCAGCCATATTATCTCAGTAGACATTATTATCTCTAGTTCTCAGATTCAAAGGCTGACGCTCAGAGAGGTTAAGGTACTGGCCAGCAATAGCTGGCCTATGATATGGATGTACCTGAAGCTATCTGGCTCTAAGCCCAAGTTTTTCCCACTTTGCCTGGGTTGTTTGTTGTGAATTAAACCTGTGATACTCTGCAGGTATTCCTGGTCCATGCTCTGCAATGCTCCTTTGAAAAACAGCATAATCTCATTTGGGCTCCTGACACTAACCCTATTAGGTAGCTTGTGCAGGTATTATAAAATAGTCCTATTTTACAAACAAAGGAAGCAATTCAGAAGAAATATTGTGTGAATTGTCAAAAGCAAGAGGAGCTCAAAAGGCAAATTTCTGAGCCAATGTCTGCCTCTTCCTTGCCTTTCTAACCCACAGTCTTCTCCCTTCCTCTCCTTCACCGCCCCCCCCCCCAATCTCATTTTGTAGTCATCTTGTGTTCTGGTCTTATTCCTGATACTAGACCTTAAACTCATAACTGTGTCATTCTCACCTCCATAACCCTTGTGGTGCCAGCCCAGCACCCACCACCCAGTGGGACACAGATCCCAGCGTACGCACCCCCAGTGTCTCCATGGTGGTTAAACACATGGGCAACTCTGTTGTCACAAAGACCTCACTCAATTCCTGGGTCTGTCACTCACTTACCAGCCATCGGGCCTTAGGAAGTCACCAGGCCTCTCTAAGTCTCTGGAGTCTGTACCATTTGTTAAATGGAGGAGTTTACAATACCTGTCTCACTGGGCTCTTCTAAGATTGAATGAGATAATGCAACATCAATCACTAAGAGCACTCGTGGTAAGTATGATGACAGCACTACTGGAGATGCCAGCAAGTAGAATAGATGGTCTGTCCTCAAGGCGTTTACCATCTGTTTGGGAAAATAAGAAGTATCTATATGAAGAAATAAAAAATAAAATAATTTTGGAGATGTCATGCATTAAGCCAACTTATAAATATGTTGAGTTCTCAAAGGTTGATTGTTTGATCTGAAAAACAAAACAAAACAAAAGTAAATGTATCCATAAAAATAAAGGCAAAATTCATTATTTGGTTCCTAGGCTAGCCTACCAGATTACTTAATCCCTGGTATGATAATGCTGTACTCTTGCAATAAATATATACATAATAAATATATATATAAACCAAAACCAAACTCACTGCTGTTGAGTCGGATCTGACTCATAGTGACCCCTCCTTGGGTTTCCAAGACGGTATCACTACGGAAGTAGGTTGCCCAACCTTCCTTCTGAGGAGTGGTTGGTGGGTTTGAACTGCCAGCCTTCTCGTTAGCAGTCAGATGCCTTGGGCAGCACTATGCCACCAGAGCTTTTATAGATAGATAGATAAACTTACTGCCATCGAGTTGAATCTGACTCATAGCGACCCCTCCTTGGTTTTCTGAGGCAGTATCACTATGGAAGTAGATTGCCCAATCTTCCTTCCAACGAGTGGCTCGTGGGTTGGAACCACCTCCCTTCTGGTTAGCAGTCAAATGCCTTAGGCACTATGCCACCAGAGCTCATATATGTATACATATAAAATGCTACCAGTTTAACATGTATCATCAGACGGAGTAAAACCACACACATGGTCCTTTGAGAAAGAAATGCTTTCTTTACACTGAGTGCTGGTACTTGAGGTAAAGCGACTCTGAGTAGCAGCAGTAGGAGACCCTTTGGTTATTCTGGAGGGCAGAGCTTCCCAACACTAACATGCTCCTCCGAATAAGTGTGCCCAGTAGGGTGGGGCCTGGGCATCCCAGAGCCCCCATCCCAGTAGCCTTCAGCTGTGAGTGGTCTTGTCTGTCTATCCCAACAGAATAACAGATACTTTTCTCTGAATGTGCCATTAAGGAGAAAAAGTTGGAAAGCACTGCTGAAGGGGACCAGGAGCCTCAGCTTCGTGGCCTCACAGCTCCTGAGCTTCCCCCATCCCTTTGTCAGTCCCCCCAGTGAAATAAGAACCTGGAGAGGGTCCAGGCCAGGGCCTGGCTCTGGAGTCTGTTGAATGAACAGCCAATGGCAGGTGCTGGGCCAGGGCCAGGGAGGTGTTGGAAAGCACCCTCTGGAGGCCATGGCGTGAAACGCAGAAGATCTGAGGCTGAGAGGAGGCAGCCTAAGGTGCCCTCTTGCAAGTGCAATGTCAGGCAGCCTGGCCAAGCAAGCACCACATTTCAGGAGCGGTGACATTATTCCATAGGGTCCAGAGTAACATTCTTTCACAGGGTATTACAAATGTTGCCATGAGCTTTGGGAACTGATTTAGAAAAAGATAGAAAAACAGCTAAACATAGAGGGCAGCCTATGAACCGCTGCTAGGCGGAGAGGTCCTAGCTATAAGCAGGCAAAGAAGGGAGCCTGTATGAGGAAAATGAGGGCCAACGGATTGTCTCTTGCTCATCACTTCTAGCCTGAACAACCAAACTTCTCTCCCACCCACTCCCCATCCCCTTTCCACCTTCCAGTCCATTTACTAGTGTTTATTTATTCATTGAGCAAAATTTACTGAGCACTGTGCTAGGTGCTAGAGGATACAGCAATGAACAAAACAGAAACTTCTCCCCTCGTGGAGGACAGATGACAAACACAATAAGTGGGTAAAATATGCAGTGTGGTCAGAGGAGACAGGTGCTATGGAGGAGAATACAGCAGAGAAGGGAGTAAGGGTGCAGAACCGAAAGTGGGGGGAGGGACTGCAGTTGTAAGCAGGGTAGCCAGAGAAGGCCCCGCTAAGAAGTGGAAACCTGAGTAAACACCTGAGGGAAATCAGGGAGGAAGCCATGTGGACAGGACTTGCTACATATTTTGTGCACAATGAAAATATAGGGCCTCTTGTTCAAAATGTATTAGGAATTTCAAGATGGCAATGGCAAAGCATTAAACCAACTACTTCAGACAGAACAGCAAGTGCAAAGGCCCCTGGCATATTTAAGGAACAAAAGGAGGCTAGTGCAGATGGAGCAGTGAGCTAAGGGGAGAGTAGGAGGAGAGGAGATCAGAGAGGTGTCAGGGCAGGGGGCAGTGGGACCTTGTAGCCACTGTACGGGCCTTGGCTTCTCCATGAGATAGAATGGGAACCACTGCAGGGTTCTAAGCTGAGGAGAAACAGTAGAGTTCTCTTCTAAAATCACAGTCCTGATCGTGTCATCCCTGGGCTGAAAACCCTTCAGAGGCTCCTCTTTGCCTCAGGATACAGTTCAAACTTCTCAGCCTTGACTTCATGGCTTTTTATGATCTGGTACCTCCAGCCTCAGCCACCCTCCATTCCAGCCATATGCCTGGCGTGCCTAGACTGGGTGGTGCTGTCCCATGCCCCATTGTCTGCTGTTCCCTTAACCTAGCACATCCTCCCATTCCTCTTCATCCACCTCCTACCCATTCCTCAAACATTAGCTCAAGCCTCACCTGTTCTGGGAAGCCCTCTAGGCATGGCCCTACGAGGGGATATGTACATTCCTTCTCACATTACAGCAGCCTTTCCTAGGGCCTCTCCCCTGGGGGCTGGGACAGGACCAGCATCTAGCCCAGGTCCTGGTACATAGTAGGTGATCAATAAATAGGAGGTTAATGAATAAGCACAGCTGGCATGACATAGGGTGCCATTTAGAGCCACACATAGTGGGGAAATTCTGGATCGAGACTAGGCCTGCGGGTTTCAGAGCCTCTGATCTTCACTCAGCACTCTGCCTCCTTCTGTTCATTGGAGATGGAGGAGTCTAGTGTGTGTGAGAAGGAGCTCTGGTGGTGTAGTGGTTAAGGCATTTGCCTGCTAACCAAAAGGTTGGTGGTTCAAACACACCAGCTGCTCCATGGAAGAAAGATGGGGCCGTCTGCTTCTATAAATATTTGCAGCCTTGGAAACCCAATGGGGGTTTCTGTCAGTCAGAATCAATTCAATGGTAGTGAGTTTTTTGGTTTGAGTGTGGGTGAAATGCTCATGGTAGGCTTCCTGGAGGAGGTGATTCTTGGAGGAGAGGGCATTATAGGCGAGGGAGTAGAGGTGGGCCTGAGCAGGGACAGGTTGAACTACACACCCCAGGGGCTGAGAAGGCTGGCCCAGGTCACGGGGTGGCCCTTAAGGATGGCTGTGGAGGCTGCAGAGCTGTAGACTTGTGTCAGGCTCCCTAGGGGCTGCAGCAGCCGGAGGTGGCTGAGCCAGCTGGGGCCCCCTTGCCAGTTCCATCTCATGTCAGCTGGTTACCGGAACATTCTAGGAAAGGAGGGAGCTTCCAGACTGGGCCCTGGACCTTAGGAATCTGTAACTGGGTGGTAGGCTGGCCCTCAATGACAGTCTACCCCTCTGCAGGCTCTACGTGCTAAAGCTGTCAGATGACATCGGGAACTTTGGGGAGGTGCGCCTGCCCCTCCTTGGCTGCCTTGGTGTCTCCTGGGTGGTCGTCTTCCTCTGCCTCATCCGAGGGGTCAAGTCTTCAGGGAAAGCAAGTACCCCTCCCCCACAGGGTCTGTGCCCCTGAGAAAGAGCCTGCCTCCCCTGTCTGGATTGTGGGGAGGGGGGTGTGGAAGAGGCCAAGGAGGTGGCCTCCAGGGTGGGAAAGATCTCAGAGCGAATGTGAGCAGAAGTCAATGGTGCCCATCTTGCATCCAGGTGGTGTACTTCACGGCCACATTCCCCTATGTGGTGCTGACTATCTTGTTCGTCCGTGGTGTGACCTTGGAAGGAGCCTTCACGGGCATCATGTACTACCTGACCCCACAATGGGACAAGATCCTGGAGGCTAAGGTGGGATGTGGAGGAAGCCGAAAAGGGGACAGGGAGGAGCCAGGAAGGTGTCAGCCTCTGACCACAGCTCCTGGCTGCCCATCCCTCCCTGTAGGTGTGGGGAGATGCTGCCTCCCAGATCTTCTACTCACTAGGCTGTGCCTGGGGAGGGCTTATCACCATGGCTTCCTATAACAAGTTCCACAACAACTGTTACCGGTAAGGCTCTCCCTGCCAGCCCTGAAGCTGCCCATGTTCCCTGCCCTCACCACAGCCAGATAGCGGCTCCCCCAGACCCACCAGCCTCCAGTGCAGCCTCCTGGCCTACCAGGGCCCTCCTCTTTCCACTCCTGCTTTGAAGTTCTGGGAACTGTGGGTCTGGATTGACTCATTGGAGAACGGTGAGAGAAGCTTTGGCAGGAGAGAGAAGACGGATGGGGCCAGTGGTGCCCCAGAGGTCTTTGAAGATGCGGGAGTCTCAGGCTTACTTGAAAAGGCCCTAAATGACAGCTGGTGCAGCTGCAGACCAAGTGTCTGTCAGTCCCGTGAACGCCTTTCCAGGTGGTCACTGACACAGCTGTGGGGCTGGGAAGGGCGCAGGGGCAGATGTACCTCTCGCCTTCCCATCCCAGTAGGGTAAGGATAGACCTCAATAACCTCCTTGGCTGCCATTTTTAAATCAGTATTTGTTGGTGTGATTGTGGGGAGTAAGACCTTCAGTCGTGGCTAACTCGTTAACTCAGGCCCATCACCTTCCCTCCCTCAATTTTCGTATTTGGAAAATGGAGATGATTCTTCCAACTGTGTTGAGCTCTTATGAGAAGGCAAATGCCCTAGCTGGATGAAAGGTGTTTGTAAACCAGACAGTCCTAAAGAAGGAAGAGAGTGGATTTTAGACCATCTGACTTGGGCTTAAATTCTAGCTGTACCACTTCCCAGTGGTGTGTGGCTTTACATGGATCAGGTAGCCTTACTGAGTCTAGGTTTCTTCACTAGTAAGTATAGATGAGACACTTCACTTGAAATACAGTGGAATATTACTTACCCATAAAAAGGAATGAAGTACTGACATGCTACAACACAGATGAATCTTAAAAGCATTATGCAAAGTAAAAGAAGCTGTATATTGTATGATTCCACTTGTACGAAATGTCCACAATAGAAAAATCCACAGAAACAGAAAGTAGATTGGTGGCTGTCACAGGCTAGGAGGAGGGAGAATGGGGAGTGACTGCTTAATGGGTACAAGGCTTCTGTTTGGGGTAATGAAAAAGTTCTGGAACTAGATTGTGGTGATGGTTGCACAACATTGTAAATGTACTAAATTTAAATAATAATTTTTAAAAAAAGCCCAGCATGCACCAGAAAAGGGGGTGAGGGTACTTTTGTTCTAGAACTTTCCCTGACTCCAAATCACCTCTTGGCCCAAATCAGGGGAGGGCAGCAAGTTGAGTATCCCATACTCTATCTGTTCTCCTCATCAGGGACAGCGTCATCATCAGCATCACCAACTGTGCCACCAGTGTCTACGCTGGCTTCGTCATCTTCTCCATCCTTGGTTTCATGGCCAACCACCTGGGTGTAGATGTGTCCCGCGTGGCAGACCACGGCCCTGGCCTGGCCTTCGTGGCTTACCCTGAGGCCCTCACGCTGCTGCCCATCTCCCCGCTCTGGTCCTTGCTTTTCTTCTTCATGCTCATCTTACTGGGGCTGGGCACTCAGGTATGAGGTGTGGGACGTGGGCCAGCTGCTTGGGAGGGAGTTGAGACCAGGTCTCTGCTCTGATGGCCATTATCCTGCAGTTCTGCCTCCTAGAGACACTGGTCACAGCCATTGTGGATGAGGTGGGGAATGAGTGGATCCTGCAGAAAAAGATCTATGTGACATTGGGTGTGGCTTTGGCTGGCTTCCTGCTGGGCATCCCCCTCACCAGTCAGGTAGGAACTGAGTCAAAGGCTGACCTGGAGGTACCAGGAGGTGAGGGGATAATGAGTTGGGGAGCCTCGGACACAGGCACCCTGGCTCAGCTGCCTTCTGGCCCACAGGCAGGCATCTACTGGCTGCTGCTGATGGACAACTACGCTGCTAGCTTCTCCTTGGTGGTCATCTCCTGCATCATGTGTATGTCCATCATGTACATCTACGGTAAGTGCCTAATCTCTGTGGCCTCCTCTGTGCTCCAGCCTCTGGCCTCCCTACTTTGTCACTGACTCCCCTCTCTGCAGGGCACCAGAACTACTTCCAGGACATCCAGATGATGCTGGGATTCCCACCCCCCCTCTTCTTCCAGATCTGCTGGCGCTTTGTCTCACCAGCTATTATCTTTGTAAGTCCCTCAGCGGCCCCTCCCTTCTCCTACTGCCCATGGGCCGTGCATCCTTCTCCAGGAAGTCAGTGAAGGGACAGTAGGAGCCCATTCCTCTGACCAGAGCTCCCCATGGGGGCTTTGCATCCACACCTCTGGCCACTGAAGGAGGTGGGGCAGAGTCAGATGAATGTGTGGAAGACTTAGAACCATGCAGGTTCTGGCCACGGGTTAGTGGAACCAGGCTGGCAGCAGCTGAGTAAGGCTCTATTCAGTTTCCCGTAGGCTCTCCCTAGTGTTCCCACCTGGCGTCCCCAGAGGGGCCCCAGCAATCATTTTTTATATTGACACCAGCCTCTATGGGCCTTGCTGAGTTCCTCAGATCCCTCACAGAAGAGGTGCTCAAGATTTGTGGTGTGAATGTTGAATGTTCCAGAAGCAGCTCAGGATGAGGGATAACTTCCTATGCCTTCCAGGCAGTAGAGTGGGCTGGCCTGGGAGAGGAGGAGGAGTTCCCCCCATCCACAAATATTCAGCATCTGGTAAAGTCCCAAAACCAAAAGTGCTAGCTGCCAACTGAAAGGTGACAATTTGAACCCACCAGCCATTCTGCAGGAAAAAAATAAGGTAGTCTGCTTTGGTAAAGAAACCCTATGCAGCAGTTCTACCCATAGAGTCCTGTGGGGTCACTATGAGTCAAAATCTCAATGGCAACGTGTTTGATTTCATGTTTGTTTGGGAAACTCCTATCAGGGAGCTGAACTGGGGGCAGGTATTAGTATGCATTTATACTATAAAAGGAAGTGGATTTTTTTTTCCTTTTTTTATGATTTGGGTGAGTTTACAGAGCAAACTGATTTTCCATTCAACAATCCATACACATTCTGTTTTATGATGTTTACTGAAATCCCCACATTGTAACAGCATTCTTCCCACTTCCTACTTGGATCCACCCTTTCCCTTTCTCTTTCCTTCCCATCTCCTCCTAGTTTCCTAGCTCTATCCCTGGGAAAATGCTGTCCACTTGATCTCATATGCTTGATTGTTGTAGTAAGTGCATGCTCTCCTGGTATTATGGTTCACTTTATAGGCCCGTCTTTTGCCTGACAATTGAGTCATGGGGATTAAGTTCAGTTCCTAGCTTGAAGGTGTCTATGGCCACAGTCTGAGGAGTTCCACCAGTCTTGATCAGACCTGTAAGCCTGGTCTTTTTCATGATTTTGAGTGTAGTTCCACATTTTTTTCTCCCCACTCTATCTGTGACCTCTTATCGTGATCCCTTTCAGAGCAGTCAGCAGTGGTAGCTGGGCACCATCTAGTTCTTCTGGTCTCAGCGTTGTGGAGGCTGGGGTTCACATCCTCATTAGTCCTTTGGACTACTTGTTTCCTGTGTCTTTGATTTTCTTCACTCTTCTTTGCTCTGGACGGGGAGAGACCAATAGTTGTACCTTAGATGGCTGCTCACCAGCTTTTAAGGCCTCAGTCTTTAGTCACCAAAGCAGGATGTAGAACCTTGTCTTTATGGACCACGTTATGCCAATTGACCTTAGTGTCCCCTGAAACTATGGTCCTGTGCCTCCATATCCAGTGATTCATTCCCTCAAGGTGTTTGGTTGTGACTAAGACGTTTTTATAACTTTGTCCCTTGTAACTTCTACTACATTCATGAATATATTTGTTGTTGTTGTTGTTATGTGCCGTTGAGTCAGCCCTGACTCATAGCGACCCCTCCTTGGGTTTCCGAGGCAGTATCACTACGGAAGTAGGATTGCCCAACCTTCCTTCCGAGGAGTGGCTGGTGGGTTTGAACCGCCAGCCTTCTGGTTAGCAGTCAAGTGCCTTAGCCACTATGCTACCAGAGCTCATACATAAGTAAAAACAGCCTCTGTCAAACCTATAAGGAAGTGTGGATTTTGACTTACTCAGCTAAGACTTACTGAGCACTATGGACTACAGTACTTTCTGTATACTGTTCATATATTAACCCATTTAATACAACTCTCCAAGCTATACTTATAATCCTCAATTTACAGATGAAGAAACGGAGGCACGGGGATGTTAAGTAACTGGCCCAAGGTTGCACAGTTAATAAGAGAGCTATTAAGAGGTAGAGCCTCACTTTGAAGCAGGTAGTCCAATGCGGCCCTGCGTACCGTGCCAGTGCTCTGCTAGATACATTGGCTACAAACAGTCTGACTCTGCTCCTTTATGTGCCAGGTGGGTTTGGGGGAAGAAGGTGATAGCATAATGATCATGCCACAGAGAAGAGGTGGGGTCCCTTCTGAGGGACAGTCACAGGGGTGACTGGGCACAGAGGTGCCCAGCTGTGAAAGCAGTGTCCAGAGTCACGCTCCAGCCATGTCTGACTCCTCTGTGCTGCAGGGAGGTCAGCACCAATCTCCGCTTTGGCTCACGTTCCTGAATAAAAGGCCCCCAGGAGGGCTAAGGCCTCCAACAGATGGGGTGTGGGATATTCCCCAAGCCTGGCCCAGGCACCAGCTCTGGCCACTGGCCCAGCTTTGAAACGGGAGGAGCAGAAGCTTCCTGTAAATAGTGGAAGGCCACACCACCACCAAGTGCCCGAGCCCTCTGGGCCATGTGGCTGAGGCCTGGAGCCTGCCCTGAGGAGATCTTGGCTACCACACTCAAGAGTGGGCTGCAGCCACGGGGAGAGGCCTGGGGACCCTGCCAAGGCAGGGCAGGAGGCAGGCGAGGAGCTAGGCACAAGAAGGGTCATGAGACTGAGTCAGGTCCTGGCTGAGAGAATGCAGCAAAGCATGGAACACCCCGTGTCCAGTCAGCCAGGATGGAGGTAGTAAGTTGTGGGCTCTAGGATCTGTGGACATGTGTTTCTGGGCTGTTGTATTTTCTTTGGGGGCTTCACTGTATATTTCTGAAAAGCTCTTTTTTACAAACTCCATCCTTCTGTCAGCTCAACTAAGGGGAAAAGGGATTTGTGCACACCTAAATCAGGATATTACATTCAGAAAACATATTCAGAGCTCCCACTATGTGCAGCGTCCCAGGAGAGATCCCCTGAGTTGAATTTGGTCTGGTCTTCTAGAACTCACTGAGCTTCAGGATGCAGGGGAGGACTCAGGAGGATACCCCTTCAGGCTCCCCCAGACCCTCTGGGTGGCCTATGTGCTGCTTCCTTTAGCGCCTGTTGCTACAGCTGCAGGCTTTATTTCTTCCCATGTCGCTCATCTCTCTCCACAGCGGCTCCCTAGTGCAGCCGCAGCCTGACACCATTTCTAGCTTCTCAAACTTCCTAGATTGTCATTCTTTCCACACCCACAGCAGTCAAAGCCTCACCCTCACCCTCACTCTGCAGTTCAAATTAATAAATGAGACTGTGCCGGCACTGTACTGGGCCACGGAGACCCCGAGCTGATGCTTTCCCAGGTGCTCCCAGTCTGTGGGAACCTTTTTTTCTCCCCAGTTGCCGTTGATTCCAGCTCACGGCGATCCCATGTGTGAGAGAGAACTGTGTTCCACGGGGCATTCAGTGGCTGATTTTCCAGTAGATTGCTAGCCCTTTCTTCTGAGGCACCTCCAGCTTCCAGCTTCTTGGTTAGCAGCTGAGCACATTAACAATGTATACCACCCAGAGACTTCACCGGAAACCTCAAAAAAAAAAAAAAAAAAAGCCAAACTCACTGCCATCAAGTTGATTCCAACTCATAGTGACCCCACAGAACAGAGAACTGACTCATAGGATTTCCAAGGCTGTAAATCTTTACAGAAGTAGACTGGAGCTGCTGGTGGGTTCAAACTGCCAACCTTCTGGTTAACAGCCGAATGCCTTAACCACTACTCCACCAGAGCTCCTTATGGGAAATACAGGAAACATTAAACAAAGCAATTCTAAGGGAAGCAGATGGAAAATGCCATTGAGAGGCCTTTCAAAGGAGGGAGAAGGGGGAAATCCAGAGAGGCTTCTTGAAGGAGGTGGCATTTATGTAATTTGACAGAGGGAGAATAAATGACAAGAGGGTGAGAAATACTGGGTGTAGCTGAAATCTTTGAGTAGAACTGGTTGACTTACAAAGTTGACAGCAGCTTGATTGTTCCTGGGCTGTTCTACTACTATGGTCAACACAACCCTCTGTCCCCTTCCACAGTGCCGACCTGCCTGCCAAGCCCTGGACCCCTGATTATGCCTGCTTCTTCCTTCCACCCTTGTCCTAACAAAACTGCCTCTTTCTAGTCTGTGAAACTGGAAAGTAGGGGAGGTGGGTGGTGGGGCACCACTGACAAGAGGGATAGCCTGAGACCTGGGTGGGACTCACCTCCTCCCATCTTACCCTTGCAGTTCATTCTCATCTTCACGGTGATCCAGTACCGACCAATCACCTACAACCATTACCAGTATCCAGGCTGGGCTGTGGCCATCGGCTTCCTCATGGCTCTGTCCTCTGTCATCTGCATCCCACTCTATGCCCTGTTCCAGCTCTGCCGCACAGATGGGGAGACCCTCCTCCAGGTGAAGGGTGGGACAGGTGGGAGATGGTGGGAGGGCAGATGGTGGACGGGGTTAAGAGTTCCCTTCTAACTGGCTTGGTCCCCTCCATCTACCTGCCTCTCAAGCAGCGTTTGAAAAATGCCACAAAGCCAAGCAGAGACTGGGGCCCTGCCCTCATGGAGCACCGGACTGGGCGCTATGCCCCCACCATAGCCCCTTCCCCTGAAGACGGGCTTGAGGTCCAACCACTGCACCCAGATAAGGCCCAGATCCCCATCGTGGGCAGCAATGGCTCCAGTCGCCTCCAGGACTCCCGGATATGAGCACAGCTGCTGGGGGCGTGCCCCACCCCCACCCCGTGCTCCCACCACAGAGACTGGGCGGGCAGGAGACAGGTGTTACCCACCTGCCCCTGCCACACCCTGGCCAGGGCGGCTGCTGTCACCTTGGCCACTATTGCTAGTGTGGCCACTTGTGCTCGTGTCCCCAGTGTTTACAGGTCCTTCGGATGCCAAGATGGCAGTGGGGGTGGGGGGATGACCAGAAGGGTGCTGGGGAGCCCAAAGCACTTTGGAGGGGTCTCAGGCCAGGTTCCCAGAGGCCCCGCACACTCTACCCTGAGCTGAGGTTCTGGTGGGCCCCCCAACTACCCCTCTCCGTGGGCCTCCAGTCTTCTGACCAGTATTCCTGCCCTCAGAGCCAACCTGAGCCTCTGCCCAGGCAAATTTGGATCTTTCTGAAGGGAATGGGTGAGGGGCTGGGGGCTGTGCAGTGTTACTTGTCAGGCTGTGCCGCCCAGGCCTGTTTGTCTGTGTACTTATTTTTGTCAACATTGTATTATCTGTGGTTTGCCACCCCTTGACCCCAGCCCAGGGCCCAATCTGTCTTCCAGGCCTGCCTGCACCTCACTTGGCTGCTCCAGTCTCTGCCTCTCATTCCAGCCCTGGCTGTCAGGCCCAGCCAATAGAGGCCTGAGACCCAGCAGCCTGCCCAAAGCACTTGTTTCTGGGGACCAGGGTGGGGGGCTGCCCAGCAGGAAGCTTGAGCCCAGAGCCCTAGGGAAGGGGACCCTGCACGACCCTCCTTGCCGTCCCTCTCCCAGTCTAAAGGCCCGGTCTTCTCAAACTGTGCTGCCCTGTTCACGTGCCAAATGGCCCCAGCCCGCGTGTCCCAACCCCCTTCATGGAGCCAGAGCTCCTTCCTCTGTGTCTGTTTGTCCTTCCTCTGTGTTCTGTGCAGTGACAGTCCTGGCCAAGCCGCCTCTAATCCTCTGTAGCAATAACGGTGCGCTGCCCACCCCTGCCCATCCGTGCACCACTAGGATTTTAAAGTCCATAGATTTTAATGAAATTTCTATTCCTGTCTCCAAGCTGCTGCTGTGCTTTATCTGGACCCCCCAGGGGGATAAGAGTCAGGGCTGGGATGGGACCTGACAGGCCTTTGTCAGGGGCTGAGGGGAGAAAGGCCAAAGGTTTTGATGTTTGGGACAGACTTCCTGCCCCTCAGCCCCAGATACCAGGGTCCTGGTGAAGAGGTGGGCGAAGGCCAAGCAGACAGATAAGACAGCCTTAGGGTCATAGCAAGGGTACTTCCAAGACGAGATCTGCTGGCGACTGACAGGTGGCAGAAGCAGATGGGGCAGGCTCCAGCAGAAGCCTACTTTGTGACTAGCCATTTAAGTGGGGCCTGGGGCAGTGTACTGGACATTGCATTGGGAGCTGGCCTTTCCCTGGGGCTATATTGGAGCTGCCGTCCCCAACGGCAGGTGGCGGCCAGGCCTCGAGGGTGGGGGGAGCACTCTGAAGGAGGTGTAGGCAGGTGGCACTGGACAGACCCAGCCAAAACTCCAGCAGCTCCACTGGGGCAAGGAAAGGGTCTGGGACCCTGAATGGAGGACTTCATCATCGGTGCACCCAGAGGGAGGGGCTGGCCCAACGGCCACTGTCTGGATAAGGAAGAGTAGCTGTAAGGGGCTGGTGGCCCAATCCTCCATCCAGCTCATGTGCCTGGTTACCACATGCTTTGATTTACCTGTGGCTGGGGGAGACAGAAGAGGACCCTAGAGGGGCCTGCAGGTCCCGTTCCATGACCTTCTTCTGTTCCTGTAGCTCTATGGGGAGAGGCACATCTGAGATGCTAGTGCCCAGCTCTCCTAGGGTATGTACAGATGTGGTACAGAGATGCTCAGGGACCTCACCTGCCAGGGTAGGCTCCAAGGCTACCTCAGGGGGCTGGGAAGCCTGCATGTACTCCTCTTCTAGGCAGCCCTGAAGGCAGAACTGGGTCAGTGCCCCAGCCTAAAGTAGGGAAGGCCCAAAACACAGAAGGGCAACCCTGGGGAAGTGCCCTCATCCCAACCACCATGAGGGCAGCCATCTGTGGGGAATGCCAGGTACACTGAAAAGCTGAGCTTGGTGAGGCTGGGACTAAAGCTATACCCAGACTCAGCTAAGAGAAGGAAGCAAGAGCTGGGGCAAATGTAGAAGGTTAACCTAAAACTGCAGACCCTGGACTTAGAGACTCAATCAGAATCCTGGGCTTCTAAGATAAACACACGCACAAGAAGCATGCACACATGAGAAAAAGACACAGGACTCAACATAACTTATGTGCACATACATAAACAGACACATATGCACATGCATCTTATAACACCCAGGTGAGAAGTGTGTTTCTATGCTCAGCAGAATGGTCCTGGGGAAAAGGCCAGGCTGCAACTTGCCTGCAGGATGGGGATCTCCCTCTCCAAGGTGCGACACTCGTCCTTCAGGAGGCCCCTGAGGCATGAGGAAGTGGGGCAGCCAGCCACGGGGTGGTGTCTCAGCTGAGCAGAGCAGCCTTCCTTGCTCCCATAACCCCTACCTTTAGCCTCATAAGGACCTCCCCCAGCTCCTCCTCTCTCAGCCAACATGGCCCTCTGCTGCCTGGGTGCTGCCTAGCCATCTGGCCCCCACCAGCCTCCTCCTGTGCAGATGTATCCTCTCCTTGTCCACCTCACACCCCCCAGTCTGGCAGGCCCCATCCTTTCTACACTATTGCACTGAGCCTTGGATGCTTCCCGCTTCCTTTCTCCCCACACATCATAGCCCTTCCTCCCCAGATTAAAACCCTCTGTGACTTCCTACTGTATCAGAATAAAAATGCTAGGACTATGGCCCCTGATGGCATCTGTAGCTGGCTACTTCCTGGTACCAACCTCACTGACTAGCTCCACAGCTATGCTCTTTCCACCTCTTGGCCTTACCTGATTCCCACCAGGGATGCTTCCTCCCTTCTCTCATGGTCCAAGTGCTTCAAGAGTCACCCCCAGTTCCATCCTCCCTGTCTTTACCCATATAAACACACACTCAGGGGTCCCTGGGCCTCACCGCAGGTGCCCAGCAACCTGGTCGATGTCAGATACATTCAGTTGGTCCCTGATGACACTGAGGTTCCTGTAACTGCTGCTGACAAATAAAATCAACATCATCCTCCCCATTTGGCCTTCAACCCACATCTTCAGGACACAACAGCCACTTCCCCTAGACAATTGTGTGTCTTTTCTTAAAAAAGCAACATAAGTTCTTGGACCTAGGTTTGAAAGTGGGCACTGCTATCCTTCACTGTGTATGAATTGTGCAAAATTATTTATCCTTTCTGAGCTGTGGTTTCGTCTTCTGCAAAATGAGGCTATCACCCACCTGGTAGGTAGGGGTGTGTGAGGATTAGAAATAAGAAGTTGCCACCACCTACTTCTTACTGATACAAGTTCCCATTCATTTCTCGCATTCAGTTCCCCGGCTGTAAACATCATTTGCCACCTTCTCCCCTCAGTTCTCCCTGCCACTTCCACCCAGTCTTGCTCCTGCTCTCCAGGCCTTAGGAACAACTGCCCTCCAGACAGGCCTCTTTTCCTCCTACCCGTGTTTACATACTGTGGTCCTTTTTCCTTCAAAGATCTTTTCTTTCATACTCCAAGACCCAGATCAAACCAGTTACTCTCTCCAGAAGCCCTGCCTGTCCCCAGGCTATGCAGCTGTCTCTTTTGGGTTTCTGCAGTTCTCAGATGCTGACCTCTACCAGTTGTTGTTGTTGTTATTTGCCGTCCAGTCGGCCCTGACTCATAGCGACCCCTCCTTGGGTTTCCAAGGCAGTATCACTACGGAAGTAGGATTGCCCAACCTTCCTTCCGAGGAGTGGCTGGTGGGTGTTGAACCACCAGCCTTCTGGTTAGCAGTCAAGTGCTTTAGGCACTATGCTACCAGAGGGGCCTGTAAAAGTGTCTAGCCCCACCCTGGAAGCTCCTCCATGGAGTGAGGTGGGAATCACCAGTTGGGAGGGCCCTCTGTCAAGCAGGAACAGATCCCTCCTCTCATACCACCATTTTACCTGGGTTCACCAGCTCTCATTCCAAGTATCTCCTGCTCTGGTAAATCACTTCTGGGCTCCTCCAAGGCAAAGTGCACGACCCTGGGGCTATACTGGGCCCAAGCCTGGACCTGGTCCCTGCAGAGGGTGGACATGAAGGAGGCGGAGGTCCTCCTTCCTGAAGACCACAGGAAAAGGCCACCCTGACTCTTTGTCAGAGGCAAGGGGCCCAGCCTGAAGTCTGAGGCTCTCACCTGCCCTCGCAGATGGCCTTGTGGCGGAGACCTTGGAGTAGCTGCCTGAGTTCCTGGCGCATGAGGTCCTTTAGAAGGGGCGGTGGTGCCAGCAGGGAGCAAGGGTAGGAGGTAGGGCAGGAGCCAGAGGCTTGGGAGGATCTAGCCTCTTGGAGCAGTTCCCGCAGCATTGTTACCTGCAAGAAGAGCTGGGACACCTTGTGCCTGTGGAAGGAGGTGACTGGCGAGGGCGTGGGTGAGGGGTGTCAAACGGCAGTGGGGAAAAGGGCCCAGTGACAAGGTCTCAAGAGTTACAGGGCAGGGCCAGAGACTGGAAAAGGTGGAGAAGACACCCAGGTCTTGGGGCACATCTGGGAGGTGGTCCATTTCCTACTCCCCACCTCCGCCCGCAGTTCCAGGCTTAGATCCACCGCCTCTTCCCCCAGGATCCTCTTTACTTCAGGCCGCTCCGGGAGCGGAACATACTCCTCCACCAGCTGCCACAGTGACAGGAAATCCTGGAGCATGACCTGCCAGCGCCACCGCGCCCTGACACGCGGACCCAAGCTTGGACCTACGCGACAGCAGGTCTGAGCGCTGGGCTGCTGAGGAAGACGCCGGTCGCACAGGGCTCGGGCCACTCCCCACTCAAACTCCGCCCAGACCTCACAGGCCACGCCCTCACCGCGAGAACTCGCCAGCCCTTGTCAAACACCGCCCTTGTTCTGCTAAGTCCCAGGGCTGGAATTACCGGGTCTAGAGGCTCCAGTCTTGCTTCCTCCGGACTCTCGGGAAGCTGATTATCCCCTGGTCCAGTGCAGGGAGAGCCTGGGCCTTAGCCCCGCCCCTTCCGTATGGCTGTCACCGGGGAAACTGTGCCGCAACCTTAGGCCCCGCCCCCTAGGCCCCGCCCATGTCCATTCCCGGCTGATTTAAGGGCTTGCCGAAAGCCAGGACCCTCCGCTGGTGTGGGTGGTACCAGGGATTCCCCAGGAGAGTCTAAACCATCCCCAAGGGCCTTACCCCGAGCACCTCTCGGCTCTGCCGCGCAACGGGCTTCCCGGGAAAGGGCTTACGGGGCGGATGGAAACCGGGAAATGAGTTCACTGGGATTAAGAATTCGTTGCCTTGACCGCCCGGAAGCAGCGGCTGTGTAAACCTTCTCACCATAGCCCATGTAAGCCTAGAGTTGTGGAGCCTGGAACGACGTGGGGCACCTGGGCAGGGTCTGCAGGTTGTATCAGGGGACTCTCCCTCACAATAACATACCCAGGGTAAATGGGTTCAGAGACCCAGACCCCCAGCTTGAAACAGACAAGAGGGCTGCTCCATTCACGTTTTTTACTAAAGCACCCACACAAGTTTCTGTGCAATGTACAAACACGAGCCGGCCCAGGGGCTACTGCCTCCACTGAGAACACGGAGGAGGAATCAGACTGACTGATCCAAGCCCCACCCACCTCCTCATGCAAAGCCCGACCCCAATATGCCAGGCAGCCACACGGCACCCCTCTGGTCCCCTCCTGAGGCTGTTCCTCAGTAGGGGCGCACCAAAGTTTGCCCCCTACAATGTTGAATGAAAAAGGTTTCCCCTCCCCTGGGAGCATGGGGGATCCCCAGGTTTGAGGTTTTCCCCTGGAAGAGACACTGCCACTTAGTCAAACCTCCCACCCTTCCAGGCCCTAGGGGACTCAAGGGGGGGAGGAAACTGAGGCACAGAGAGGTGGAGTGACCTAGCCTAGGCCACTCAAGGAGGCAGTGCAGGGGCTGGCCCAACCCTGACAATGAGAGGGCCTGGGCTGGGAGGGAGGGGCAGGAGAGAGGGTTGACTCCAGAGAGGGCCACACTTCAGGGCCAGCCCAGGTTGGAAGTCCCCCAAAGTGGGTTCTGAAACTTCCAGGTGCAGCTGGGCGGCCTGGTGAAGCCCTTCAGAAATCAGGGCCCACAGTCTCAGTCCTGGGGCCTGCCCCAGCTACCCTCTCAGCCACCAGCCAGGCTGTAGGTCAGTTCTCTGACAGGCAGTCCTTGATATCGGGAGCCCCTGCCATTGGTATCAGCCCCGAGGAGGCCATGATGGGGGCCGCCCAATGTCCACTGTAATGTTGGTGAAGAGCGGTTGCCGAGACACCTCCAAGACCTGGTACCGCACTGATCCAATTCCATCCCGCTTCATGGTCAGCTTTGTGTTTTGAATCTTGGTAAACCTAGACAGGGTAGAAACAGACCGAGTCAGGGCTAGTGTTGGGGACCCAGCTAACAACTGAAACTTTCAGGCCAAGGCTCAAGTCATTCTAGGGCTGACTTGGTTTTCCTTGCCACACCCTCCTCCTTTCACTTGCCTGGGGCCCTTTGCTCTTGCCTCTGCCCTCAAAATGGAGATCTTACCCCCTTCAGTCATTACCTCCAACAAATAGAATTGTCACCCTCACAAATTTCTCAGCCCAGATCTTCCTTCTAAGCCTTAGGCCCAGACCTAGGGCATCCCACAGGCACCCCAAATGCAACATGTCCTATGCTGGATGTATCATCTATACTCCCCAAACCCATCCTATCTTCTCGGTTCCTCACCCCTGTCACTCCTTCACCATCTGTTTACTACTGCTCATTCCTCATAAGGCAGAATCTGCTTTCAGCACCAGAGAAACAGTCATGGACAGACTGTGAAGTCCTTCCTCTCATGGAAAATCTACTTCACTAGGGGAGAGTGGTAACAAACAAGGAAACCCTGGGTGCTAAGCATTATGCACATGCAGAGACAAATGGGAGATATGATTAAGATTCCCAAGATGGCTGCTTTGGAAGAGCATGTGATATCAAGCTTGCAGCCAGGGGAAGAGATTCTAGGCAGAGCACATTCAAAGACCCTAAATGAGGAATAAGATTTTGCACAGCTGAGGGGCTAAGTGTGGTTAGAGTTTAATGGACCAATGGGCAAACCAGAACAAGATGAGTGTGGAGATTAGAGCCTATATGGGCAGGGCTCTGTGAGTCACAGTAAGCAGCTCATACTATATTCTGTCAGTGAGAAGATGAGACAGGGATTTTTAACCTAGTTGGAAGCAAGGGCTGGAGGACATGGAGTACAGAGGGCAAGAGGGAAGCTGGGACACTAGTTAGAGGCCATCGCAGTAACAGTCCAGGCAAGATCACAGACGTCAGGCTAGTATAGGGGAAGAGCAGTGGGTGTGCTCAAATGTTTTGGGGGTGGCGCCAACAGGACTCGCTGAAGAACTAGACATGTAAGATGAGGGAAAGAAGAATCCAGGAGAATTTCTAGATCTGGGGCAAAAGGAAAGCACCTAGGTAGTTGGAACCATCATCCACAGAACTCCTCAAGCAAGAAATTGAAGGCTACCTTACCATTTCCATGCCCAAGGCAGACATCACTAATTGATGACAGCATGCAGACACATGCTATTCCTGGAACAGAACCAAGACTCCATTCCCACCCTCATCTGAACTGTTTGGATCACCTCCATCCTTCGGCATTCAGCTCGGATGCCTCCCTTGAGCCATCCCAATACTGTGCACCCTCCTTCGGATGTCCTGAAGCCCCTCTCCTCCCAGTCTTGTCATCCCTTCCCTGGTCACCATGGTTTTCATTGAAACTGTTTTCTTCAACTCCCTGAATTTCCCTGTGCCTCACGCTTCTGGCAAATATTAACCCTACATCAGTGCTGCAATCCAAGCCCCTACTCCTATATCCTAGGTGAGAGCAGAGAAACCTTACTGTTCAAGCTGAGGGCACAACAGCCTCCCAGGTCCATACCCAGCATGCCCCTAGCACCCCGTCCATTTCCCTTCAGGCCTAGTTTGCTTCCTCTCCTGCTCTACCAGCAGCTAGGCCGGACCTTCACTTTCCTCAAGTTCAGAGAGCAATACTTCTAAACACAAATCTGACCCTGTCCCTTCCCTACATAAAGCCCTTCCATGACTTCCCATTATGCCTGGGACAAAAGTCAAACTTGCATCCTGGGATTCAAGACCCCTAACATTCAACCCTGACTCCTTCTCCTATTACTGCTAGACGTTTACTGTTAGAGATCTTGAAACCAAACAGTTTAAGATTCTTGGCATATAAGATTCATATCCACACTCCTATTTTTACTATGTTGTTGTTGTTGTTGTTATATGCCGTCGAGTCGGCCCCAACTCATAGCGACCTCTCCTTGGGTTTCCGAGGCAGTATCACTACAGAAGGATTGCCCAACCTTTCTTCCGAGGAGTGGCTGGTGGGTTTGAACCGCCAGCCTTCTGGTTAGCAATCAAGTGCCTTAGCCACTATGCTACCAGAGCTCCCTATACTATTCCTTTTATCCAAGCTGGTCTCTTCCATAAGCATTGTGCACAAGGTAGGTGTATGACAAATACTGGTTGAATGAATGACTCTTTTCAAACTCCAGTTACCGTCAACTCCTCCAGGAAGCCCCCCCCGCCCCCCACTCCTTCTTTCACCAAACAGCAACCTGCCCTGGTGACCTTGTGTTGTAACTGTGGCTCTCCCTCCCTTGAACGAACATCTTGAGGGATAGCAGGAACTAGGTATGACTTCTCCAGGCCCCTCTCTTTCCCACAAAGCTTGGCACTTGACAGGCACAGAACAGCATCAGGAAGCCCTTGTCTACATTTCACACACCTTGCTGGGACTTCTGCCAGCCAAGGACCAGACACCAAATGCTACCTCCTCAGTGATAGAACTGCCTCCTCCAATCACAGGGTGATCAATGTCTTTCCACTCCCTGCCCCACACTGCTTGGGCAAGCTTTGTTGGTGTCTCTAGGTCCAGGAGGTGTGCCCCATGCCCACTCTCTCTCTTCCTAGCTGCTCTGGGAGGGCACTATAAGCAGGTTCACACAAGGTGCACAAGTGAGGTCTGTGAGGCCACTGATGGGGATGCAATCTTCTCAGTGACAACTTGAGCCCTGCCTTTAAATTTTAGTTACCTCAGGAAATGAGAGGCAGGAGATATCTGGGGCTCAAACTGAGCTGGGGGTCCTCTTTGGGAACAGGGATCATGAGTGTCAGGTATTACTTCTAGGAGTCAAAGGTCAGAGGCCTTGGGGTCACATTTAGGGATCAGGATCGCCTCTCAGGTATCAATGGCATTGGAGGTCAGGGATGCTAAGAGGTCATCTCCAGGGGGTCAGGGATTAGGGGTACTTGGGTCAAGAGTTGGAGATACTGGGAGGTCACCTCTAGGAGGTAAGGGGATAGGAGCACTTGGGGTCAGGGGACTGGGGGGGGTCACCTCTGAGGGTTGGGCTCGTTATGCTTGTCCCGATCGTGCTTGATCATGCGGTAGCGGCCTATTCGGATGTCTGGGCGCGAGATCTTCATCCCAGTCAGGGAGATCCTGGGGATGGGGACAGATGGACTGGAACAGGCACGAGGAAGGGCAAGGAGCCCCACCCAGTCTTACCCCTTCACACACCCCATCTATTCCACCCCCTCCCTACTCACCGGTTGAAGATGTCGTCATCCTCACCACCCCAGCCCCAGTACTCGTTGGGGAAGCCATTGATTCTCA